GATTAGTGTTTTTGGTAGATACCATGCAATAGGCTAAAATTTCAGTGTAATGACTGTAACTCTGGAGGGAAGGCCCATCAGCACATAGCCTTTTGGGTTTTTTATACCTCACCGGGGTCTACCTAATACACATGGTCCGAACTTGAAAGCGGCTTGACAGTACAAACCGTTCCATTGTTAGAGATTACTTATTTGATAGTCCTGAACAAGAGTAATGAATTGATCTCTATAGAATATAACTCCGTTTCGTTAGGTTTTCGGGGAATGATTCTCAATTAAAAGTCACTGGACATATTTTTTGCCTGAAAAAAGTTATTAGATATTTTTGGCGTGTTTTGCTCAAGATTAGCTGATTTTTTACCACTGCAGACTATCAAGTATCCGATCTTCTGTAAAAATTTCAAGCAAAAATATTAAATATTAAACGAAATATGTTGGAGACAGTTTTCAAACAGTCACTGTATAAAGTGTGAAAAGAACATTAATTTTCACTAAATAGAAACATCAGGCCAACATTAAACTGTTCAGATATGAACGAGGAAATACAAAGCGACGTCTATCAGACAGAAAATAATCGATGTCATTGTAAAACCAGCTGCAACCAATGTTAAGCAATACAAAAAATATAACAGAGAAAGAAATATAAAATCAAGTCGTTTTTCTTCCCTATCAAAACATATATGGATATGGATACTTACTCGCTGGTATCTTTTAATCTGAATTTTTGAAGTTCGTCTCAGATATTCTCTGACGATCTAGATAGTCAATCAAATATAACAATCAAACGTGTTGAGTATCCCCTGTTATGGATAATAGAAAATTGTTAAGTAATATTTTGACTGAACTTTCTTTTTGAGGAAATCATATCTTCGCAAAGAAGTATATCTGAACAACTACCATGATAAAGACAAATATTACCATTGCAACGTTAGGATTCTTAAGTCAAAATAGGAAAAAGAATGGAAGATATATTTTAGCATAGTTGCAGAAGTGCAAAAGATTTATTTCATTAAACCACTAGCATCGTAAATGAAAAGAATATAGAATGTGAATCGAGATTTTACTAATTCTTTTTCGTTTTGTTTCCACAAAAAAGAACGAGTAAAATCGATTCACATTCTACATTCTTCCTATTTACGATGCTGGAGATCTATTATCTGTATTTATGTAGACTGTTCAAATATTTTAAATCGAAATGTATGGAATGCGATTAAACCAATCAAGCGTGACAATTTACCTATACCAGTTTCATCTATTGTCGTACATGAATTACGTGAGTTATTAAATAATCAAAGTGTGACACAACAAGGTTGTGCACGATATATAAATGCACTTCAGAATTATGATATGAATCAAAGAAGTTATGATGATATTGGATATAATTTTATTATTTGTGGTGATGATGAAAATGATAACACTAGTCAACAACAAATTTATACTGGAAGAGGATGGAAAAGTTCAGGAGCCCATTGTATTCCATACAATGGTAAATCATTAGGTTAGTGAGAAAAATCTTGTCAGAGATAATACTTACGATTAAAATGTGAAATGGCTCCCATTAGGGATGCTCGGTTTCTCGGTTCCAGAACCGAGAACCGCGGTTTCGGTTCTCGAGTTAGAACCGAAACAAAAAGAACCACGGTTCCGGTTCCCGACTTAGAACAGAACCGCGGTTCTCGGTTCTCAGCTTAGAACCGAAAAAGAATTTTTCAAGCACTAACAATTCAACGAAATAAGATTCATTTTACAGTAAACGAAAGGATTCTTTTAAATGATGGCAGCACTTCTCTGACGACTAATATACAAATATAACTTTCAATGGATACAAGGACAATTTTCTTCTATAGTAGAATTTAACACAAATATTTTCAAGATCTTTGAAGGACTTTCTAGGGGGTCATTTTTGACGAAATCCGACAGATGTACGAAAAATGCAATATCTCAAAAACGAAATGAAATCTTGAGAAAGGATTTTTTCGTGTCGTTATGGCCACCGAACCGCGTTCCGGTTCTTAACGAGAACCGAGAACCGAACATCCCTAGCTCCCATACATATATTTCCCCTTTAAGACAAAAGAATTTGAATCAGTACTCCCGTAGAAGACTGATACTGGAAACTAAATTCATTTTTCCTATAGAGTGTCGGCGGGAAACAGAGGAGATTTTTTCTAATTTTTTCTATGATTTCTTTTTATATCAACTGTCATTTTTGTTTTCGAAGAAAAACGAGAGGAAGAACTTCACCAACAAGAATATTGTCTAGCCTTTAATCGACTTCTTTTGTTTTTTTGTTACATTTGTTCAGGTATTGCTATTGGTCCTAATTATACGAATGAGAAATCTCTGAATACATTTGAATCGTTAATGGAATGTGGTATAACAAATAAATTCATTGAACAAAATTATACACTCGTAGGACATCCTGATACTCTAAATATTTATAAATTTTATTTGAATTATTTCAAGAATAATACACAAACACAACATATTTGCCAGCCACGTCCGTCTAACAACGATACAATCGCCGAAGCTCGAAGAAAAAGTTGAACAGATTTATTATTTTCGTACCAACGAAAACATTCATTTGCTCTACTATTCTTTTCTTGTATTTGTACGTGCGTTTTACGATAACTTTTTTTTGTCTACCATTTATTACTTATTGCACGATGTATATTAAATGGTGGAATGATTTATACCCTTGACTGTTATATTATATATCTCAGAAAAGATTATTGCGAAATTGAAGAGGTTAGTGTCTCAAGATTTCGATCATAGATATTAGCGGAACCAAGCGCAGTGTCCTTCCGCAATCCGGCCAAGACAAAAAACAGTTTGATCTGCCGTGCGCCTTGATCACACAGAAATTTTTCCATTCTATTCGACAAATACATATTTATACATATACATATTATCTATCTTGTAAAAACTTTTGATATGCATGCAATGGGAAACGGCGGAAATGCTTGCTGTTCTTATTAACTTGTGTTTTGTATGCATGTGATTTACAGCTCTACGTATATTCTATCTGTTTAAATAAACTTTATACTCTTAAAATTTTTATCGTGTTTCATTTCACTTATTTTATTTATCTATATTTTATAGCAGTCAATTTTCGCTACATCATCACCCATTGTTGTGCTCATAATTCGACTAACAAATTTAAAGTATCAGTGTGACTTTTCTTTGTACAGGTGCGGGTATTCCCGTGTTTACTATCACAACATGTTGTTGTTTTTTGCATGTTCTATAGATCTTCAACTATTCCACGCACACATACAGGAATATGTCGCAAGCAAGTGCTCCTGACCTTCGAGTAACGGCACCTGATCGTGTTGCACTTGTTACTGTTTTTTTTTGAAAAGATTGAGAGTAGCAAAAGTAAATGTCTGTACTGACTTCCGATAAAAAACATTTTCAAAAAAAAGTCTAGATAGATGGTTGGTCTTAATTTTGTTAACGCTTTCAAATGAGATATGTATGAGCTCAATCAGAGAACCATCAGATGCCGACTTAAAGGCGAGAAGGTTGGTTTTCTCATGGAGTCTCTTTCAGGTGCTCCATTCATCGTCCGACCAAGTTCCTCCATTAGGACACTTTTGAATAAGATATGTAGCGAGCGAACCTTCTGAGGTGTCAAGCTTCAAATTGAAAAATTCATCACTCCAACTATGAAAAGCTGAAGATATTATCAAATGAGAAATAGAAAATGTTTCTTATATCTCTCCTTTTTTCCCTACGAAAACGATAAATCATACCCACGGACCTTAATTAAATAGACAGAAATATAGTAAGACTTATTTGGCGACATGTGTAACTGACGATAGTGTAAAATCACTTTTCAGAAACAAACGAGTTTTCCTTAAATGAGGAAAACTCGATAACTTAGCAGCATATAAATATAGAAGGCTGAAACTTTCTGTGCATATAGTGTACATGTATGACTATTCTGATTTCCATCTATCTAATTAAGGCCCTCGGGTACGATTATTCGTTTTTCGTATTTCTTACTCTCAATAAATAAACCCAGTATCTTATTGATCTCTTTTTATGGAAATTGTGGTGTTGCTTTTTAAACTCTAAGTTTTCCGCTTTATTCATGATATTCATTAATTTCCTAATATCATCTGCTAAACATTTTCCTAATTCTTGTTCACTAGTTGCATTTGTTTGAAGTCATATTCTGTTTCTTCTTTTATCTCTGGTTCTACAAAAGATAAACGAAAAAGTGAAATTATTTGATTTAAACTGACGCTTGAGTTTCAGAAAGTTTTTCTTCAATTCTAACCACAAAGTTCATATTAAACACTAATTCTTAAGAGACTTCAAGTTATAACAACTGAACATCGTTTAAACCGACGGAGCATGTGCTGACTCATATTTAGGCATGCACCAATACAATATATTGGGTTCCAATAATTTTGGTTACCCAGTCTATTGGGATCAATAATTATTGGTCAGCTAATATATTGGGTTTTCACAATATTATTAGGTATTGGGTCACTTGAGTTCGGCCTACTTTTACAGTACAGACGCATGCTTTATATCCCGTTTTGAATCAGAATATAACCTAATTAGGCATGCACTGATTAATAATCAATATTAGGGCATTCAGGAAAGTCGTTGCAAACCAGTTATGAAAAAGCTCTTAGAGCTGCCGAACACCTCATTTTATAGGAAAATGTTTGCTCTACCAAACTGAAGTACTACAAAAACATTAATCTTATATATAGAGAAAATACAATAAATCAAAAACGCACTATAATCATAGAAAAATAATCGACAGTCGCTTTTTTCGCAATTTTTCTCAGTTTCGGATGTTTATATTTCTGTCGCAGATAACACTAAAATGTCTTTTTGCATTTCAGTTAGGTAGAGCAAATATTTTTCTACAAAATGAGACCTTCGGCAGCTCTAAGTGCTTTTTTATAACTGATTCGGAACGCCTTTGCTGGATGCCCCAATATCGATTATCAATCGATGCATCCCTAATCTCCATCGGGATACGCTTCCTCACGTTTTTATGAAGGTAAATGATATTAAGGTTAGAAAACGTTGGAATCCAATGCATTGTGGAACCCAATATTATCCAATATTATTGTACAGTATTATTGAGTGACCAATATTATTGGTCCCAATATACTTGGTATACAATAATATTGAGAGCCAATGTTATTAAATAGCCAATAATATTGTACAATATCTTCAGTAATGATTGGTATTGGTGCATGCCTACTCCTATTGATGCCAATAAAAAAGTCTTGATCGGATCTCAAAAATTACTCTCTTCGACCGACGTTCGAACAGTTTGGGTTATGGTTGCTAATGCTGGTATACTGTGGACAGCAACAGAAGAAGATTTTGATCGAATTATGAATATCAATGCTAAAAGTGTTGTCAAAAGCTAAAAGTTGCTAATCAAGAAGCTGCCAAACAGGTTCGAAAGAAAAGGTCTTTAAAAGATAAAATGGCTTGATCAGCTCGTTGTTGTTAAAACGCCATTGAAATTTTCAAAACTTTTATGCCCACCCTGTACACAGTGGGTATTTTTCTGTAGATCAGTCCGACATGTGGTTTTTTTTATTCAGAAAGAGACTATTTTTGCTCAATACTATTACGCATTTTATCCAAAACACCAGTGTTTTTGGTAGATCCATATCCAAGTCTAGGCAAATAACTGCATAAAGTTGCATACGCCATAGATGCAGGACATGTTGCGGAACATTTTGCACTAATCCTAAGCGAGATAACACTTTAGAAATATTTAGGAACCTAGTTACATTTGAAATACCTTTTCGGCAACAGAGTCACCTATTAAAGTTAGTTTTTTTCTGCTATGTTAATATGTAAGGCTTTTAAACTTAAAACGACTTCGTCTATTAGAAAAAAATGATTTTCTCAGAGGTTGCTAGTATTCAGGCTCTTTTCTGCTTATACATTTTTTCCGAAATTATTTTTTTGCATAAATCATTTGGACCATAAATGTCTACACCATTAGAAAGCCGTATATCAAAGTATATATGGCACTACGTAAATCTTAAAAACGCGCGCTTTCGACTTTTCGTCAAATGTCCACTGTGTGTTTTAGACTATGTTAATTCTAATGCAATTAAAGGCAGCTCATAAAAAATCCGTATAAAAGCCCGGTTTTGCTATCTATAATGCAATAATTTATTTCAAGTTACTGCAATTTTTGAAAAATATCACATCATCAAACACCTATTTATTGCACAATAATCAGAAAAATAACCAACATGGATAAAAGCCCTTTTGTGTAGGCACTCTCGAACATTTTCGAATTTGTAACGTTTTTTTTTGTTTGCTGTTTAAGTATAATGTATTCCACCATCAATGATCAGACTTTGTCCAGTAACAAAATTAGAATTTTGGCTTGCCAAGAAACTAATACATTGAGCAACATCATCAGGTTGCCCAAGCCGTCCCATAGCTGCCGTCTGATGTACAAGTCTATGTTGTAAATCATCTAGTTTTACACCTGTTTGTGCAGCAACTGCTTGAGTACCATCATAATACATGTCTGTCTGAATTATCCCGGGACAATAACAATTGACAGTAATCTTATGCTTTGCTAGTTCTAAAGCGGCTGCTTGTGTCATCCCTCTAACAGCCCATTTTGATGTAGCATACATTGAACCATGCATGAACGGCTTATGTGCACTGATACTAGCTGCTGCAATTAATTTTCCACCATGACCTTGTTTGATCATCTATTTAAATAATGAAACAATAATGATGAACAATTTTTGAGTATTGTTACTCATATGACTACTCAGAAAACATTTATTCACCGTTTTATTTTGCTAAACTGAAACTGTATAAAGAACGTAGGATTCAGTAAAGAAACATAGAATATTTTTATTTTTATTTCCTCACTGGTCTCTCCGTATATGGTCAGGGATGGGCTTGTCTATGACTAGACTTGTAGTCCTACTCTGGCTGCCTGAGATCACTCTTCTGTATGAAAATAGCAGATAAATAATACTCATGAGTATTTTGTCAAAGTTATATGAGTACTCAACAACACCCAAGCATGATTACTCAAAGTCGTACGCACAGTACTCGTTACTCGCTCATGAGTACTCATGTGAGTACTCAATGAGTAAAAACATGTGTGAGTATTCATGATACAGTGGGCATTTAGGCGGCATTTTCTGAAAAAATCGTAGGTACGAAATTTTCCGTTTTGAATAGCGGTATATATAGTGTAAACAATGCCCTATTTAACAGTGAAAAAAGTTTTGTTCTAGCTGCTTCCAAAGTGGAGAAAACCAAGTTACAAAATTACTAGCGGAATAGGCGTGTTGGTATTTAAAATTGCATTTTCTCCATCAAATTTGAATTTTTTTTGAAAA